GAACTTTAAATTTCTTTCAGGCAACAGTTGAAAAGCCTAAGGTTGAATTAATTATCACCTCATGGGAATTGAAGGATTGTCCAAAGTACTCGGCTGCCAGCAAAAATCAGTCAGCTACTCTGCCTGTCAGTTCTTTACGAGAGATGGCATTTGTTTTAAAGTATCCCTGGTTTGGTGAGCAAGTGGATGCAACAAAATTTGCTACAAATTATACAAAAACTGCAATAAGTACTTCACTCGGTGATAATGACAAAAAAGGGTGCAGCAGTTTTATTTCGTCCCAAAAGTCCTTATAGGTGAACTAAATGGGTGTTCAAAATAATTATTAGTAACTGATAGACTAACAATAACAGCATACGGTATGAGTTGTGGCCCATCAGACCAGCAATTATCTCCGTTCTGTAGTTATCTCCATTTCTGTAGCATAAAACAACCAGCAGTGTTTCTACTCCCCCCTGGATGGGATACTAGTCCATTGCAGGGTTACCCCCAGCATTTTACCTGTTGGTACCCATCTTATACACCTGGGTGGAGAGAGGCACTGTGAGAGTAAAGTATGTTGCCTAAGAACACAACACAGTGTCCCTGGCCAAGGCTCTAACCTGGACCGCTTGATCCGGAATCAAGCGCACTAGCCACAAGGCCACCACGCCTCCACGGTACAGTCAGTAAAGCAGTTGATTATTGCTCAACGTTTTCTGTCCCTGTATATAGACAGTATTAAATAATATTTCTTTTATGTTCTAGCAATGTGTCATTGATGACTGTGGTGAGCTGCAGCCAGGAGAAGATGACGGCACATGTGCTGATGATGGAACAGGCGACTTGTTGCCTGATTGGCCTGAAGACTCAGGACTCAGCAAGGCAAGACATTGTAACAGTAACCAGTAAACTAGTATATTGAAAGAGAAGCAAAAAGGGGAATGAGAGCAAAAAAAGGCTGCTTAAAATTTGGGTTGTAATAATTAATGTGTGGAAAAGGAGGTCATCCTGATACAATAATAATATCATTATGTCAAGTATTTCCCTGTTAAGCCAGACCAATAATTAAGTGAACTGCAGTTTTCTTTCTACTACTGGACATAACTGTTTGTACTGTTTTTATGATCCAGATTGAAGAAATATTAGATGCAGCAGAGAAACTGAAAGGTATTGGAAATGAACAGTTCAAGGCACAAGATTACAAAGTTGCCGAAAAGAAGTACACCAAGACACTAAGGCAAGATAAAGTTAAATGTAATTTCCATGAACTCTTTGATGCTATCTTCCTTTGTCTCGTGTTTATGATTGTAATCTTAAACAAAGGAATATGAAAATCAATTGGCTTGAGGGATGAAGAACAAAATTTGAATTATTGATCCACAATCATGAAATTGAAAATTTTATACAGTTTGTACATTAGATAGTCCTGATTATCAACAGCAACACACAGACACTCTCTGATGTTTTCTGTCACGGTAGCTGTAACATAGGCTATAGCATTGCTCTTGAGTCATCTCTTGAATCACATCTTTTAGGTATCTTGATCATGCAGAGTCAGTCGAAGAAAAAAGCTCTAGTGAAGGCGAAAAGGATCAACCAGATAAGGAGGAGGAAAAAATAACACAACGTTTTAAATCATTGTCAATCAGTTGTCATTTAAACAGGTGAGAAGCTGTGGACCAGTTGTTTAATGGAAGCCTAAGCTAGACATACACTGTACATGGTAGTTTGGGGTTCAAAATTATCAGGGTTTAGACAAAGATTCCAAAAAAACACTGTTAAGTGGAATCTCAGTTTCATTATTTGATAATAGATAAACTGTTAGTTCACATGTGTTCAAAACAACTTATACCAACCTCCATAAAGGCAGGTGGACACAGCATTTATTTTCTTCAGCTTGCCCTAGCTTGCGAGACTTTTAAGACCCCAGTTCTTAAAATTTGAAATTCCAAGATCTGCTGCAGTTCTACAGTTGTAAGAATCCAAGATTCTTAGACCTTATTTCAAGAGATGGGTATATGGGTATGTCCCTAAATGCACGAAGCCCTTATGTATTCTCATGTCTCTGATATCTGCAAAAACATGACTGTCTTATTTTACGAATCATTCTGAACACCCTTACAATATGTACACAGCTTACATAGTGTAGCGAAGCTAGGATTTCGTGACCAGGGTCGAATGTCACACATGTTTATGATTGCAAGGTTTCTTTGTATACACAGTTACAGTTGTTTCTTACCGAATTTCCTGTGGTTAGACCGCAACAGAGGCTTTCTTATGAACTGGGATAGAGTCTCTTTGTTTTGTTCTGTATAGCCCGTTGTGTTCATATAGGGTTTACGACCGGAGTCAGGAAATGTATAGAGAGTTGAAAATAAACCTTGCGTTGTGAAGAACTTAGCCTGTTTTCCTTCATGTGTCTATTTGCCTTGACCCTGAGCGACATTACAATTGCTATTATAACATTGCTGAATGTTGAGAACCTTCATTTTCAGAGCTGCTTGTAAACTCAAACTAGGAGACAATGCAGGAGCAGTGGCTGATTGTGATGAGGTACAATGAGACTAAAAATATTTACAATTTCAGATCAAGCTACAAAACTCAGCTCTGAATTTTAAAAGGGCACTGCAGTCACTGAACGAGCAACTGTCCCAAGACGTTGATCATTCAGAATTTTTCAAAGAACGTATGGATTAACTAGAGTTTTTGCCACCTTGAAATTTTGAAGCATTTGAAAATCAATAATCATCTCCTTAAATATTGCATGTAAATCCAAAGAGCTTATTAACTTCCTCCACTTTCTGAGTTTCAAAAGCTCTTTAACCTTTTGGAGTCAATTTGTATGTAGCATGATCCCTTCTTAATTTAAAGTGGTTGGTATGCTAATGGGGCAAAATTTGAAACAATTATGACATCGACAAAGATTGCTGTTTGGGTCAGGAGTTGTAGTAAGGAGCAAATCAGTTTAATCAATGTATCTTCTCTGGTATCTTTTTCCCCACTAATTACTTTCCAAAAAGTCCAGATTTGTGATCAGCATGTTTTATTTGAAGGTCATTTGTTTTAGAGAGTTGCCACAAAATGACTGTGTACTTTACAGGGTTTACAGCTACTCCTTGGTGTAGAAGACACAGAAGTCACAGGACACACCACAATAGAACACTACCTCACAAACCTATTGTTTTCATTGTTTTCCTTGTTCTTTTGTTCTTTTGTCCTCTATTGTTTTACATCAACTGTGTGTTCTATACCAAACAAGAGCTGTATTTATTAACAACCATTAATTAAGGTTTGTAGTAATGTTTCTTGTCATCCTATTGCCAGGTTCTGGATGAAGATGAGAAAAATGCAAAAGCTCTTTTCAGGAAAGGACAGGCTAAGGCAAATATGAACGACTTTAAAGAGGCAATGGTATGTTGACAGCTAATTAGAAAAAAGCCTTTGTGGGGTGAGGGAAAGGATAACAGAATACAGAAAAAATCAGGAAAAACAAGCTCACTAGTCAAATCACAAAATTAGGTCTCATTATAAAAGATCACAGTTTGTAAGTAGAGTGTCAAATCAGTGGCAGATCCATACCTTGAGCTAACGGGGGNCCCCCCCCCCTGGGCCCTATAACCACCATTGCCAAATTATTTAATTGTTTTTGCCTTTGGCATCTGTAAACAAATGATTGCTTACCAGTAACTAACCACTGACAATGTTTAGCTCAGTGCTTTCCAGTGATACATGTATTTGCTTTATTGGTTTGCCTTTTAACTGCAATAGACCTTTTTTGCTTGGGCGGTTTGTTTTCCCATTACAGATCACGTGATATTCTCTAGAGATTTGTTCTTTTATCCATCTAAAAATAATTTATTCATATGCACGCGACTATTCGAAAATTTGAAAGGAAGAATTCTCAAGAGTATCATCACATGGTCTGAAATGGGGCAACAAACCGCCCAGTCGAAAAAGGTCTATTCATATGGTGGTCATTTTTTATCAACAGGATAACCTACAAGCTGTTTCCATTCTGCACCCTGAAGATAAAAGTAAGACACAAATATATATTCAATAATTTAGTTACAAATATATAAATAACAAAGGAATAATTATATGAAAGTTCATAGATTTCAACTACAGAGAATGATATGAAGACATGATTGATCATCGCAGTTATACACACAACTTAAGCAGTTGTGAGATTAAAGCCTGAAAAAAAAAATTCCATTCAGGCCTAAATGTTTTTTCTTTTTCAGGTTTTAATTTCACAACTGCTTCAGTTGTGTGTATGTATCATAGCCTGCTTGCAGGCTATGATACATGTAAATGTCTCCTATTAGAGACCAGCTCCCATAAGTGACTCTCTATTGCTTTTATATCTTGCAGAGATCAGAGACGAAATTGAAAGAGTAAAGAAGTTAAAGAAACAGAAACATGAAAAAGAGAAACAAGTTTATTCTAAATTATTTTCTTGACAGGGATGGCAATATTTCTAGAATAATGCACCCATTAAAAGCAATGTTCATCGTGTAAAAAGATAAAAGAAGTTGCATTTTACAACTGTGGTGTTCTGTGCCAGCCAATAATGATATTCTGTCTGTGTTTTGATGGTGTTGTATGCTATGTTCTTTGTGTCACTGGTGTTTGTATCACTAAAAAATTGACATCACACCGCAGAACAGTGAAATCTTTATTAAGCATCCGCCCTCAGGACCTTCTTTGGTGTTCAATTAAAATCGGTGTGTCTGTAATACTTGTACAATATTTGTCAAAATTCAGCGGTTTTGCTATAATAAACTTCCACATTTTATAACTATCCTGAATTCAAGTTCTTGATGTCGAACTTTAATCAATTGTGTTGTTTGTTGTCTGTCATTTCAACTGTTTTGACAGGGCTCGAAAAAGTGCCGTCCGGTCGTCTGGGACAAAAATAGATTCTCCTTCTGGGCAAGTAACTTTTCATTCTCACTTGCCCAATGGGTAAAGGATCAGGCAAG